ACACACACACACACACACACACACACACACACACACACACACACACACACATACACACAACACACCAGCTGTGGTGTTTGGGTTACTTGGAAAAGAATTAACTGCGATTGCATTTTATCAACATAAGCCAACGTTTTAAAAGAAATTAGGCCTACACAGCTTCTATTTGTTGTCTAGTCTTCTTCTTCTTTCCCCCATCCCCGCTCCCAATTTCGTCCCCTTTATCCACCCTAAACTTAAACCGTCCTATCCGTCCAGACAGCTGAACCACGTGCTTTGAGGTTTGCTGTTTTGAATTTATCTCCCAACGCTATGTCCATACCAGGACCCCGAAAGCTGGAGCCAGTTTTTGACAACGAAAAGATTTCTAAAACTGACGCATGGGGGATTGCTATTGAATTTCGCATTGGAAATCTACTCCCGTATTCCTTTCACAAAATCACGCACTCGGCATATTTTTTCTATAATTATGTCCCCCTCTTTTTCTCCCATTTTCTCCCCTTTTCCCTTAGCTGCTTGTATTTGTGCGTGTGCGTGCATGTGTCTATATCAAGCACGTTAACTGTTTATGAAAGAACGAGCCAACCTGAAACCGCGTGTGCTTGCGACATGTCCCCTCTTTTTTTTTCTCTTAAAAACCTGCCTGTAATAATTCTAATCAGATATAGCCTAGGCAACAGAGGTCCCTTTTCTTTTCCTCTCGTTGTTACAAACGAGATTTTGAATTACTTCCAGGAAACACCACCAGGATGCGAGTTCTTTACAAAAGAACTATTGCACCGGGTTCCTTATCAACCTTTTCTTTTTTCCGACCCACACCTGTAAGTTTTCTTGCTGAAAACTTCTGTGGGAAACCCTTTTCAGCTTTAGCAGAATCCCAAAATGTACTATTTTGCAGTTTTTAAAGGAACCCCGGAGCGCTAAAGGTATAACAGAATAGATATGTCCACACGGGCAGAATGCCAAATAATAATATGACTTATTTAGTCTATGTGGGAGTGTGTGCAAGCATGCGGTAAACCTGGCATATATTCAAACACTCACGTATATTTAGAACATGCACATGGCCTACAACTCTGCGCGTAATAATTTGAAATGCAACTGACGAACTCCGAACGTATTATATCTCTTCTTTGGAACATATCAAGGAAGCTAAGGTCTGAAAGGATTGTTGAGCATTGAAATAAACTGAATAGGCCGGTATGCATGAAACGTGTCACCGTGTTATCTGTCGAATTGTTAAAGACGTATGTTTATTGTTAAGCGCATAGAGCCACCAGGGAGCCGGCGCTATAGAAATGATTGTTGTTGTTGGTATTATGCGTATATACGATGTATTGTAAGCGTATATGGCAATCTCCAAGTACTTCCTCCGTCTTCCGCCCAGGCAAAGCTGTATCATGCATATTGCTTTAAGATCGTCTGACAAGACGCTGCAGGAAATGTACACACATACAACTGACTGATTAATAAGAGGTGCATTAACAAGGATGCACTTGTTGTTACACTTTATCTATGTGTCTCCCCGAGAGGTCAGATACATGATTGTGTTGATGGTTGGCGGGTGCTCTGTTGTGGTTTTGCTCCTTCTCTATCAAACATCTATCATCCTTTTCCCTCCTCCTTCTTTTTCGTGTAAGTTACAGTCTTTTAAAGCCTTTAATCTCCGGCCTTTACATGACCCAATTACGTTGCAAGAGCTGTAAAACACTAACAAATACAAACAAATCAGATGAATGTAACCGCCAAACCCTGTACAGCACCTCTGCCACTCTCTGTTTCGCATATTTATTCGATTTTTTTTCGCTTTCCCCAGCGTATAGTGCTCTCGGATAAATTATAGATCTACTGCTGTTGCAACACCCCGAACTGCAGCGCACTGCTCGTCAGCATTTCTGAGCTACGATTTCTACACCAGCAAGAGCTGACTCTATTGGACTTACTTGAATAAGGTAAGCGATATCAATAACTTATTCAATTGTCGTCCTAACATTAACAATATTACTGCCTCTCACCATAGAGGTTTTATGCCCTCATCAAAATGATATTATATATCATTTAGAAAGCAGGATGTCTGTGCTAACCTGGGGTACGACACCCAAGCAGAAAGAATGACTATGTACTCAGCCGCTATATTACCGAGTACTGGTTTCTTATTTCCTAAAACAGTATGTAATAATTTTTTCAGATACACTTCTGCGGTGCCCGCTGCGTTGGCCCCACAGCTAGAACTAGATCTGTTCGCAGACAATGTCTCCCTTTCACTGTTGTTGTACAAAGTAATGCCTCTCTGTCTAAACATACCCACCATTATCATCTTTTCTTTGTCATAACTCGAAAATGCTTCATGCTTCATGCCGGAGACTTTGAACACGTCTTGACCTGTAGTATCAGAAAAAAGAAGATTATTCAGCTTTGGTTGTATTATGGAGTCGACCATGTATGGAATTGACAAACCGCTCACCCTCCTGGCCTTGTCCTATCGGATACAGACGTTGACATCAGATGTCTTTTAAAAATATATATTTCACATATATAGAGGACAAGGGAAATTTAACGAACCGCCAATCTACCCCAGTAAAATATAATGGAGTAGGACAAAGATGAGCAGACGACTAAGTAAATGCAGTAAATAAATGAATAATACGAACAAAACTTTAAATACAAAAATAAACTGTCTAAAAAAGAGGAAACACAAACTAAGATTCCCATATATATATA